GCGGGGGCCCCGCCCCCCCCCCCCCCCCCCCCCCTAAGCGTCGTTCTGGTCCTGTTAATGATATGAGATAGTAGGGGAGAGAAAGGGGGTGGGTGGGGAGTGACCCCTGACAGACCTGCAAAAGCTGCCCAGATCCAAGAGAGGCCATCCCTGTTGGCGTTCGCGGCTCCAGCCTGATGACGTACTTTAGGGGCAGCTAAAGTCCGGGGCTCGGAGGATGGGCTCCAAGATGAGGGCCCCCTTCACCCTCTGGAAGGCCTCCTCCGCTGCTGGTGTCCACTGTACATTCTCCAGCTGCCCCTTCCTGGTTAAGTCTGTCAGGGAGGCGGCTAAAGAGGAGAAGTTAGGGATGAAGCAGCGATAATATCCGGCCAACCCTAAAAAGGCTCGTACCTGTGTCTTGGTCTCGGGTCTCGGGGCGGAGCGTACCGCCTCCACCTTCCTCTCCTGTGGCCGAATGAGACCCCGTCCCACCTGGAAACCCAGGTACTTCGCCTCGGAGAGCACAAGGTGGCATTTGCGAGGGTTGGCGGTGAGTCCAGCCCTCCGGAGCTCCGAGAGCACCCTCCGCAACCGATCCAGGTAGTATTCCCATGCCTCGGAGTGGATTACGATGTCATCCAGGTAGGCGGCGGCGTAGGCCTGATGGGGCCGCAGGGGCTGCGGGATGGTTCTATCACCCCCAACTTCAGCATTTGATGGATTTCCTCAATAGCTCCCCGACGAGCCTCAGGGACCCGGTAGGGCCGTTGCCTGACGCTGGTCCGCCCGAGCAGAGCAGAGAACACATCTGAGAACTGACCGACCAGGTGCTGCAGCTCCCTCTTCTGAGCAGCCGAGAGGTGGGGGTTGACGTCAACAACCACGGGATCAGAGATGGCAAGGGTCACGAGCTGGTCTCTAGTCCCCACCCCCTTCTTCAGCAGGTTGATGTGGTAGAGCTGCTCGGCTCTCCTCCTCCCTGGCTGGCGCACACGGTACATCACCGGCCCAATCCTTTCCAGCACCGTGTAGGGACCCTGCCAGGTGGCCAGGAACTTGCAGGCAGCATTGGGGACTAGGA